GCTGAATATCAAGCGACAATCCCGCTAAAATTTTTCATAATTATACATAATTATGCGAATGTTTAGACAATCAACCAATCAAAATCACTACCCGGTTTTCTGGTAGTGAGTGACGTCACTGGACGGCATTAACGGCTCGTCGATTCAGACGTTGTTGAGAGGAGAAAACGACTCGAAGCAATCGGATGAATTTCAGGCTAAGGCAAAACGCGGTTATAAACTTTTTGACACATTTTATGGTCTAAGTAATCTATCATCAGTGTCGTGATTCTTTATCTTTACTTTTTTAAACTTGCTTTAATTTATATCTCCTCTTTTAAAGGATTTACGTGCCGAAAACTCTCCTCCAGAAATGATGTGCAAATTTTGCCCGACAGTTGTGCTTTATACAATCAAACATACGGCTCAATTTGCTCATTTTCCTGCGCTAATGGAAAAGAAAGTAGTGGGCCTTCATCTGCTCGGTGCGGAATAAGAGGATACTGGAGCGAGGAAGTGAACGAAGTCAGCTGTAATGGTTCGTATAACTCTAAATTTTCTTTTTTGTTTAGAAGAACGAACTAGGGGCAATGTTTAACCCAGTACTTCAACAAGCATATGAAATTGGTGAGCGGTTAATAATGTTACGTAATTTTCATTACTGGAAACAAAAAGCTTCCGATCTGCATCCAAATTAAGTATATGTAACAATGTCCGGTGCGGTTGGGTCACAGGATCGACGTGGAACATGTAAACTCATTATGGAATTTTAGAAATAGCTTTTCTGGGCCTTCTATGGAGGCGCTAGAATTGCCAGAGAAACTAATCGTTCAATTAAGTACAAGAAAAGATTGACGTTTGAATCAATTAAGTCTGACATATCTAATTTGGGTCGACCCATGAGCACATGGGAATTCCGACTTAGGAACGACGTCGACTGATTTTCATGTGCCAAACCTAATGCATAAATGACTATCATTTATTTTCACTGGTAGCCGTTGTAGACTATGTTAACATCTTGAAAATGAATTGAGTCTGACTAATTAAGTTTGACGTATGAATTAACCGTCGGGCTTTTAGCAATTGGGTCGACCCAAATAGCTATTAAGTTCGGTACATCAACGTGTTAACTGGGCCTTAGTCCCCTTCTTTCCCATTCGCCCGTAGTGAATTATCGTTTTCAATATTTTAATGTATCCTTTCATAACTCTTAAAAAGAGCAAGGCAGCGTTTTATGGAATTTTCATTGACAGAAACACATCCACTGGATTTTTGCAAGTAGCACTCAATCTCTGTGGCATTTTCTTTTAATTTCTTTTGTTATTTAGCATGTAAAGAGGCTCTCGGTAAGGAGAAAGGAGCGATCTCTGACGGGCAGATTAGTGCTTCGTCGCAGCTTGATGCCAACCACGAATCCAGTCAGGGTAGACTGAATTTGAAAGGATCGTGGTCAGCTTACGCTAATGACGCTAAGCAATGGCTACAGATTGATCTAGGTACCAATCCTGTCACTGTCACATGGGTGGCAACCCAAGGAAGTAATTACCAGAGCCAGTGGGTAATAAATTTCACGCTGAAATACAGCGACGACGGTCTGAATTTCCAGTTGTACAAACAACAAGGACAAAGTGAGCACAAGGTTAGACACCTTTGCAGACATTCATTTTGTGTGCAGTTTGTTACTTTTTTAAATGAAGTGATAGTTGCTTGTTAAAAACAGTAGTACATACANGATCTAGGTACCAATCCTGTCACTGTCACATGGGTGGCAACCCAAGGAAGTAATTACCAGAGCCAGTGGGTAATAAATTTCACGCTGAAATACAGCGACGACGGTCTGAATTTCCAGTTGTACAAACAACAAGGACAAAGTGAGCACAAGGTTAGACACCTTTGCAGACATTCATTTTGTGTGCAGTTTGTTACTTTTTTAAATGAAGTGATAGTTGCTTGTTAAAAACAGTAGTACATACATGTAATAATAATAATAACAATAACAATAATAATAATAATGATAATAAATAATTAAATAGATTACTTATATTGCGCCTTTTAACAATACTAGGGATTAAAAGCTAGTTTAAAAGGATTTGTTTTCAGTAAAGATTTAAACTGTTGAACTGTTTTTTATTTCCTTAACGAGATGGGTAAGGTATTCCACAATGTGGGAGCAGCAACAGAAAAATATCTGTCTCCGAAAGATGTCAACATCTTCCCACGGGGGAAATCTAGTAGTAGTCTATCATTTTATCGCAGCTGATAGGCAGATTGATTCCTTACTGAAATTAAATTACTGATACACTGGGGTGACTGACCAAGCAAAGATTTAAAAAACGATCAAAAGTATCTTAAATAAATATCTTAAAGAAAAATGAAATCTCACTGGCAGCCAGTGAAGTTCATAGAGTACAGGGGTAACAAGGCTAAACTTAGATGAAAGGTAACAAGTCTAGCTGGGGCGTTCTGCAGTCTTTGCAACTTGGAGATCTCAGTGTTTGAAAATAGAGCAAATAGTTTACCAAGAAGCAAAATAAAGTTCAGTAATCTGTTTCCCTGCATGTCACCCATAAACCGAAAAAAGCTGTTTTCAAAGTAAATCATCTTAATATGTACGTTTTGAGATCTTGTGCACCGTTACCCCTTCGTTAGTGAACTGTTCTTTTCCTTTTCGACATTTCGTTCACCATACTTAATCTCCTCATTCAACTCCCTCTGAGGAGTCAGTCGGGGTGAGTGAGATTCATAAAGTTTCACAAACAAGAAAGGGGATCATTGGGGTTGAGGATAATTTTTGGTCCATTTTAGCCATTTTTTCCCTTTTGTGGTGTTGTGGTCGGGGCTCATTTGCTGTACTGTACAGTTCCCCTGTTCCTCAAAATAATGTGGAATTTCACTCTGTTTTCTGAAAATAGTTTTAATTAACATGTTCTCCAAAATTCAATGTTGTCAGCTTTCCGAGGTTTCCAAAACATAAAATTGTAACGGGGGTCAGACCTAACCTGTTGTGGAACCTGAAAAGGCATCTGGGCAAAGCGTAAAGAAAAAATAGTCAGTATTTCTTAGGAAGGAAAAAAAACGACCTCAGGCCCCAGTCTACTCGCAACGAAGTCACAACCAATTGCAATAGACCAGAGAAGCAGCAAAATTGACGAACAATAGACGTCTGAAAGTAAAAGTTTATTAAAATGATATTATTTTGAACTAGAAAATCAATGTCCCCCTGTTCCTGGAAAGACTTCAGTGTTTCTTGAAAGTAAATAGTCAAGGTCTCTTGTTCCCCAAAACCTCTACCAGATACTCAAATTTCATGCTCATAGTGTGTTTCAAAAACAATCCTATTTGCATCTCTACATGCTATTATTAACAGCTTTTCATTTGTATTAGAGGTTACTTCTAGGTGTGCAGGGACCAGGGTGTTATGAAATTCAGTGCCTGGCGACACAAAATGTCACCCTCGGATTGTGAAAAGCAGGCAAATGGCGCCAAAACCGCGACGAATTGTCCGTCTAACTGCTGTTTTTTATTTTCTTTTTTTGGCCTGCTTCAGGTGTTTGTTGGCAACACAGACGAGAATACTATCGTTTATAATGAACTCATTGGGTCGATTGTAGCACGTTACACACGTTTTCAACCAAAAGCTTGGCATAACCAAATATCAATGAGGGTGGAACTATATGGCTGCAAAGGTAATCTTTTTTGGTAACATCCATCTTTTGTGGAATTCGGAAAAAATACAAACAAGTCCTTGTTTAATTTATCACATTTGGCGGCCTTTACTACTGTATTGCTAATATTAATATTTACATTTACCATCCTGGCGTTTCGAGACCGCTGAAGAAACCTACATGTATTTAATTTCCTATTGAATAGGTTTCTCCCCTATTGAAGAAACCCTTAATTCTGATACTTTGACTTCGGCGTGACTTCATAGAATGCCCAAGATAGAAAAGAAGGAATTCATGACACACGTTGTTCCTATGCATTGTGGAGACCCTTTGGGAAAACAACAAGCAATAACAAACAAACAAAAATAAAGCTCAGACGAACTAAGAAATATTTCATCTCACAGCTTTGTTATGGAGCGTACATGTTGTGGTTCAACTTTTTCCTTGGTCTATTTTTCATTTTCCCATGTTTTAAACTCATTATCATACATTACCATACCCCAAAACAAAGGAACATAAAATTTAAACCATGGATAAGATTGAACCACAAAATATACATACATACCTTTATCGGTCGCAGTTAAAGAGTCCTAGATCTACTTTAAATGCTTATGATTCTAAAGATCATAAAGGGCCGCGGAAGACCGAAGTATGATGAAATAGAGAGTAGCTTATTACAGGTTTGTTCGATATTGCCATCTTTACTACTGGAATGAACGTGTTTGTTTTGTTAGGAAACCTCGTATACCGCCGCTGGTTTCTAGATGGCAGTGATCCAGATGTGGGGTAAGTTGGGTTATGCATATATTGTTTGTTCAAGGTTGAGGGTGGGGAGGGGGCGGAGATGTGGCATTTTATGCCTTACCCCTATTTCCGGATTTCTCTTCCCGTCGTAACTTTCTGTAACTCTTAAATATATTTTTTGATTGACCATTCTCTCTTGAGAATGGTTTCAGCATCACCTCAAACTTATGCATTTGCCTTTCCAACTGCTGCAGGTGGCATTACACTCATTGCGTTAACTGGTTAAATTTTTGTCTTATAACGTAGGATTCGAGAGTAAGATAGTGGCTTGCATGTTCCTGTGACAGGTAATTCTTTTAATCACAGCTAGATTCTATTCATTGTTTTTTGTGATCTTACAGGTATTTTGGTACGCTTAACCATACTGAAGGCTGGTGTCCTGGAAGCAAAGCGGCGTTTTTCAGTCAGAATGGTTCCTATGCTACTGTTCCCAACATTAACATAACAACCTGTGATTTTACAATTGCATTTTGGGTAAAATATATTGGTGTTGACGGGCCTATACTGGCACTTTGGTCAAAGGGTGGAAAACTATTTTATGTTACTGTCAAGAATTCCAGTCTCCTTTTATCGATACACAACACTTTTGACTTACAAGCTAATCGCTGGTATAGCAGTAACCTGTCAGCAGTTTAAGATCAAGGTCTTCGTTAATGGTTCGCAGCAGGCGTTGAGAGACCAATGGAATGAGTATTTCTTCTCATCGACAAGCCATTACCAGTTAGAGTACATCATAGGGAATGATCCAATTTTGGTCCAGATGCCAATGGCAAACGGGGTGTTTGTTGGAGCAGTCATGGATCTTTATGTCACTGGGATAGCTTTATCTGCGAAGCAGGTCTCTGACCTAAGTAAAGGTGAGAATAGTGTCTATTCGATGCCTTGGTTTTAGGCTTCTAAAGATTGTGTAGCTTAATGTTTTGGCATAATTCGTCATAATTTTCATCGATTTTCCAAACGTATTATAATAATTTGCACTTTTGTCTAGTTTTACAGCTCAAAATTGATCATGTTACCACTTATTTTAGCCCGAGAGCAGAATTACGGGCAAATTTAAGTAACAAAATCAATTTTTTGTCTCCTTATATTGTCACATTCATGGGACTTAGGTCCCGCGGGAATTAATCAAGATAATCAACAACTCGTTTTACAGGACTCAATGCATGCGCATAATTAGCTCGATTACTTAAGATGGCGTCAGCGTGCTGGTCGTTAATTCATGTTTCAGTTTTTGTAGTTTTTAGACAGTTTTGTAGGTTTAGTGGTGTACCTTTCTACGTTCATCTATCACTGCAAATACATCAGTAGTAATCACTAAGTAATCGCAGTGTTATTCTCATTGTTTAAAGGCAAACCAGTTACACCCGTGATAAACAACGAAGAGTCGGAAATACATGGTTGCAAGGTCAATGTAACGTGGAGTAGAAAAGAAATATGCACTATAACAAAGAGCACTGTACGCTTTAGGGAGATAAAGCCACTAGGCATTGAAGCCGAATGGACAGAACATAAGGTTCCTTCAACCACCTTTCATCTTTTATCTCTGGAATGCGACAAGGGGTATGAAATTGGAGTGTCTTCCTGGTTTGGAGAAGTTCAAAGCGACTGGTCAGTTTCTTGGAAATTTAAAACCCGCTCTACAGGTGCGACATTAACTTATGTATGTTTAATAATAGCTGATAGGTTTTGGTATTGACACGAAACCATATCCAGTTGAACGTCTGCTTAGGTTCCACAATAGCCGGGTTCTCAAATTCCGCCTTCCCGCTGTTTTTTTCTTCTTAATTCCGCTATCCCGCCTGTTTTTACGTCCGAATCCCGATCCCGCCTAGTCTGCTACACAGCCACAAAGTTTTTGGGGAGGAGCGTTGCGTGACGACACTAAAAAGTGCTGTGTAGCAGACTAGATCCCGCCCTAATTAATATTAAAACGTTATACAATGTTTAAGACTTTGATGTTTAAGGCTCTTGACTTAACCATTAATAGTCTGAGATCAGCCTCCGTAGTGGGGAAAAAAGGCAAAAAATGGGACCAATTTTTTTCTCCCTTATCACCCAATACGGAGGCTGGTCCCAGATTATACCATTAACGACTCTAACTTTATTTTCTGTTTTGCTTATTATTATTTTTGGGGGGGAGTGCATCAGTACAAAAAAGAAGGTTTACTTCGATCTGAGTTTTGGCCATTTGAAAACAGCCAGTTGAGTTGGGTAGATCGATGCTTCGACTGCTTTGCTGCTAGGTTGCATTAGACGATGAAGCCAATTGTCTACGTTGACAACGGGTCATGGAAAGTGTGTATGAACACACTGGTCGGACAGATTAATAAAATGTTCTCTTTTATGGAAACCCAAACCTCCTATGGAATGGAACAGCACAAGCAACTGTAGACAAACCCACGCAGAAAGTGTACTTTTCCACCCTTCTTGCGCTCTTTCCCCGATTTCTTCCTCTTTTCTACTGCTACTTGTACTCATTCCTGTTAAAAATCTCTTCACTTTCTTCCATTCTTAAATCCGCTCAAAAAAAGGTGCGTGTGACTTGCAGTAGTTTGCAAAACAGTTCCTTTTTTCTCACAATCGGTTTTACAAGGTGCGAAGTACAGGTGAAGACTGTGTTAAATTAACCGCGTATTTTTCGCGTCTCTCCCTAGTCTAATTCGTTTTTTGGCCTCACTCCAGACCTGTCCATTGACCGTTCGCGCATACCGTCAGTTACCAAGTGCTGGAATATGACGAAAACACGCAAAGGTGATGATGGATAAAACTGACAGGCTTCATTTCCTTGGCGACTAGTAGTTGCTAGTAAATGGCGGTGTACAGGAAAATTCAAAACGTGGTCACGACAAAACTTAATTCCCGTATCCCGCTACTTTTCCCTTATGATTCCCTCATCTCAACCGAATAAGGATAGTAAATCCCCCTCCCGATCCTTTTTTTAGCCCGCATCCCGAGTATCACCACCAAAAATAGCCCGCATCCCGCATCCCGCCAAACCTATTGTAGACCCTCTCTGCTAGGGGTAGACCTCTAGGGAAGTAGACACCCTCTTTTAGCTCCCTCATAAGCCAAGTGGACAGTAAAACAGATCAAGACGGAAATTTACCAAAACAAAGCCCTTTGATGTTCCGATCAATAACAATAAAAATGTGTAGATTAGCCTCCGCTTACTGGAAGTTTATCTGGAATTTTTAAACTTTAAGCGACTGTTCTTCTGTAATAAATAGCCTGTCACGACGCTGTATGTTCATGGCCATCTTAATTGGCCTGCATTTCTACATTTGGCAAAATGACGGTGAGGCTAGCAAAAAGAGACCAATTTCGATATATCATAAGTCATACCTTGGGGGAATAAAATAAAAGAAATGTATTATTCATTGTTGTGCCTCAAGTGTGAATTTGAATATATCATAATTGTTCTATAGTATTTAACATTTGCATTTTCTTTTATCCCAACCACTTTAAGAGGAAAGAGGTCAAAAAGCTTTTAAGAAAGGTTTCTATAAGAAAATCACAACAACTGCAAAAGCAGTCAACTGGTAATGTTTGCTTCCCCTTTAAGGTTACGTTAACACGGTACCGGTCGAATTTTCAACCGGTTGAAAAATTTGACAGGACACTTCGTTCACACGGAACCGTTCAATATTTTTGCACTGTTCACATGGAACTGTCAAGCCGTAATATTTCCAAGCAAAGCGAGTAATAACATGACTCGTAAATCCATGCTCGCAATATTTGGTTGCTATTTTGGTATATACTTCATGGTGGAAAGCCAGAAGTGCACCGGTAATACACACTCTGTGTAATACGTAGCATTGTGTCTTCTCACTAATAGTCAGTAGTAGTAACTAGTAGTTGCTACTAGTTACCTGTAGTTACTACTAGTTACTTGTAGTTACTTGTAGTTACTGGTAGTTACTTGTAGTTGGTGGTAGTTACTAGTAGTTAGCTATATTCCTCTCTTTCTCCAGCTGAATAACCACGCATCCATGCAGCCACGCATTTGCCGTGCAAAAGTTTTGCCGATTTTGTATTCAAAACAGTAGCAAACAGGTAACCAATGTAGCTCGCGAAGCAGAGGCGTGTGATAGGGCACGACTTTCGGGCGCAATAAATTAAGCGAGCACTAACATTTAGAGAACAAGTCTTGTGTATAAATAGTAAACAAAAGCGGCCCGAGACAAGAACCTAGAGGGACACTCCATTTTAAGTCAAACGGCTGCGAGAGCGTTTC